AAGGAAAGATTGCTATCAAATAGCACACCTAGGTTCCTAACTGATGATGAAGAATTGACAGAGCAGCCATCAAGTGTTAGACAGTGTTCTAGGTTACTACATGCAGAGGTTTTTGGTCCTATAATTAACACCTCTGTTTTTTTCTGAATTTAACAGTAAGAAATTACTAGTCATCCAGTTTTTTATATCAGCTATGCATTCAGTTAGTTTTGCAAATTAGAATGTTTCGTCGGGCCATGAAGAAATAGAATTAAGAATCATCAGTATCACAGTATCAAGTATAAATCACAGTGAAAGTTAACACCATGTTTCCTGATGATATCTCCCAAGGGTAACATGTAGAGCATGAAAAGTAACGGTCCTAGTACTAAGCCTTGAGGTACTACATACTGCAGTTGTGATTGGTATGATACCTCCTCGTTTACTGTGATGGCGGTCAGATAAGTATGATTTGAATCATGCCAATGCACTTCCTCTAATGTCAACATAATTTTCTAGTCTATTCAAAAGAATGCTGTGGTCGATAGTGTCAAGTGCAGCGCTAAGATCCAGTCGCACTAATAGAGAGATAAAACCACGATCAGATGATAAGAGCAGGTCATTTGTAACTCTGATGAGAGCAGTCTCAGTACTATGATACGGTCTAAATCCTGACTGGAAATCCTCACAGATACCATTTTTTCTCTAAGAAGGAACATAGTTGTGATGATACTACCTTTTCTAGTATCTTTGACAGAAAAGGGAGATTCGAGATTGGTCTGTAATTAATACATTCTTTGGGGTCAAGTTGTGGTTTTTGAAATGGGATAATGGGATGTCCAACATTTAGTCGTGGGCGCCCTCTCTAGGAAAAATTATGTATTACAGAAGAATTATTCCCTTTTTTTATTATGTTGTGCTACATTAAAACCAATGAAACGTTATTATTTTTTTTTAAATAATCTATGGGTATAGTTACTTTAGATAAGCACAGACAAAAGCGGTCTGCGACGAGACAGATTACAGTTTCTTTTCTCACTCTCCTGTGGCAAAAGAAAAAGATACATAACAACATGCACAGCACGTATTTCACCTGAAGAAAATACATATTCAAATGTAGTAGCATTTCAGTAAATAAGATGTAAATGAAGCCAAAACCTTCATTAAACCACATTTATTTTTTATTATTTAAAAGGTTATGTACGTTAAATAACATAATCGCTATGATGTCAAGGATTTTTTTCTCATATAAAATTGGCAATTCGCTAGAGAAATGCATACATCTTATTTTTGTTAAATCAATAATGGCTGTATTTGTTAAATCAATAATGTACCGATCAATATGGCTGTATTGGCCCAGTCTCACCAGCGCTTAGAAAAGCAACAGCTATCATGTGATGTGTGCTTGCTGCTTGAAAACGAACTTAACAAATTTATACCTGAATAATGATACTGAGAAACTTTAATGTTCAGTACACACATGAATCAGGAGATTTTATTTATTTATTTTTTGGTTGCGTCGGTCACGCGCCTGCGCTGTTAAACAGTACCCGGATAATGTAGGTTGTATGACGTGAACAAGATGGCTGCGCAGTGGTGTTTTATCTTATTGATTCACACGCACTGATCACAGAAATGAAAAAGAGTCATTTATATTCCACGCAGTTTATTTCCAGCACGGATTATATTCATATCGGGCTATTCCTCTGATTCTTCCGATTGTTGTTGTGGTCGGAAGGACCACATTTCGAAGACAATTTCATATAAACATGGTAAAGTGTTGAACTGCTTAACGTTACATTAAAATCAGCGCTCTCGTCAAACCTTCAGATGAAGCTGTAAATCTTTTGTTGATGTTCACAAACTTTTGTTTCTAAAAAATTGTATAGGGATAAAGTGTAACGTATTTGTGAAGTAAATGAGTAGTTGACTATAGAATGACTACACATACAGACTAAATTCTGGTCATGACTTAACGTTACCTTGACAGCATTGAAGCTATGATTCAAATAAAGAACACAGTCCATGTTTTGAACATTTCAAAAGATCTGGATGCTGAGGTTTTATTTGTTATTTTTCAGTCTGCCAAAGTGGACACCGTGGAGAGAAGTGAGTCAAGTACAAAAAGCAGAAGTAGTTCTCACAGCAGAGGTGAGGTTCTCTAGACAAGTGTTCTGTGTTAGGAAAGGAAATGTGGAGAACAGAATCACTAACCCTGATCGGCCAAACATGCGGAGATGATTTTGCTCACAGATATGCTGTATGTATTGACAGGAAGAGAAAACCGGAAACGAGCAAGAAGCCGAAGCCGATCATCCTCCTCCTCCTCATCATCATCCTCTTCTTCACAGTCTTCATCCAGCAGTTCATCGTCACATAGTAACTCCAGCTCCAGTAGCTCAGGTAAGTTAAATAAAAATGATTACATTTATTTTCAAATTAAAAATTATATCGTCTGAAAGGACAGTTTTTGCAGGTGTAAAACATCACATACCTTATTAACAGGAAAGAAGAGATTGAAATAAAAAAGATTAATGATGCAGCAGATCAATGTGTTTTGTGCTTTCACTGCTAGATTCTTGCAAAAAACAAAGAAAATCTTCGAAGAAAAGGAAAGATACACATGGCAAAAAGGTACCTGGCTCTTTTTAAAATTTCAGTTGACATTGTTTACGTAGAACACAAAATCAAGAAGTTTTAAATCATTTTTACGCAGCTCTTGAGGTGACCAAAGGCCATCAAACTCAAAAATAAAAAAAAATAAAAAATCATTTTTGACTGAACTATTCCAATAAGAAGCTTGTTTATTGTGCCTTTTAAAAAAAAAAAGCTGTTACATGTAAATTAATTAACTGTTGGTTTGGAATACATTTTCACTTATCTGTTTTAACTATTGTTATTATTATTATTATAGAAAGGAAAAAAAGAGAAGACACGTAAGCGGAAGAAGGAAAAGGGACACAAAGGGCAGGAAGACAGCTCTGGACCTGTTCAAATTTCAAAGGTACTTTTTTCAACTCAACTCAAAACTTCATAGCTGGCATCACATTTTAGCAATGTGATGTAGTCGCTTTTATTTTTATTTCGATTAAATGCATTATTATTGCAAAGTTTAGTGATATAACAGAATGAATGTCTTCCCCAGTATCTGAAGGAAAAGAAGAAAACTGGCAAGTACAGTATGATTTCAGGGAAAAAGATTAAAATGAAAGTGAAAAAATCAAAGAAGGACAAGCAGGTGAGTTTTTCATTGTGCAGATTACACATAAATACACTGGAGAAAAACAACAAATTAACCATTTGATTTTATAATAAAAGCATGGAATTTCACTCTGCTGATTTTATTATTTTTTTTTTATGATGGCTGCTGGTGAAAATAGTGTTAAATCAGATTAACTATAGTCAGGTTTTGCACAGATCTTTTATTGACTTACCTTTTTTTTTTAACAGAGGGACAAAAACAGAGCGGAACTGCTGGAGTTCTTAAACTCCACTTTCTGATTCAGTTCATTATTCACCTGGCCGCCACTCAGGGAAAGACCATCTTCAACTATTAATGGGTTTGCCTGATGTTATACATTGACAGTTCCTTACCATAAACTATGTGGATGGTTGCCCTCTTTTTTTTTTTAAATTCCAGACTGTGTCCTGAAATACTTATTTTAAGTCTGATCCTATGAGAATTGTAGCTTGGATGTAACATTGTTACATGTTACTGAAATTGTCAAAAAAAAAAAAAAAAGTATTCTTGTATTCTCATTTATAAATGCAACCCTCAAGTTCATATTAACAGTTAAACAGTTTGTACAGTTTGTCACCGGGGACATGAAGGTTGTATATCTAAAAAACAATTCAAATTTGAAACAACATTGTAGTCATGTTGGTTCCAGTGGTGTGTTTCTTGTTATCCCATGATAATCTGTGTATTTATTGTGTTGAGCCAAATGCAGAAGCACCACTAGAGTGTAGTTGAAAGCTTATGATCTGCCTTTGTGAGACACGTCCATCTGACCGTACTGATAACAATACTTTTAAATAAATTTCCAGTTTGTGTCCTTTATTTTTTTAGTGTTTTAAAAGCAACCCAGGCTCATGGAAATACATGCCTCTAGATACATTTCTGCAACATCGTTTTTACGTACCTTACTGAACGTTTGAAAGCGAAGTGTCCAGTAAGTGGCGCTAAAACACGGGTTCAACACGTGACCCTGGCACGTTTTTATTACATTGATATAGGCACGTGTTGCTGTGTTTTTATTACGTTGCTTCAGGTGCGTAGTGCAATTATTAAAATATTCGGGGAGTGTCGCTAAATGCTAATGCTATATTGTGTTATCCCCTACAGTACACCAAACCCAACCCTAAACATACCCGATAGTATTAACAAATGCAAAACTGGTATAAAAACGCATTTGTTGATGCAATCGTGTCATTTGAACTTCTTTATATGCAGATTAGAATCGTTTTTTTTTTTTGCGAACTGAGATTCGTACCTGAGCTCTTTACCTCTCAAGTGCAACGCCATACTGCGTGAGCTATACCGAACAAACCTACTGAATATGAAAACCCATGTATGAAGCTGGATATGTGACTCTAATGGTCAAAAGTATCAGTTTTCAAATTTCGCAGCATGTTAAAATTTTGAAGTCATAACATAATATTCTTGTGTGAATCTAGGCTTTATTAATCGAAACTGTGGACCTGTAAATCGTACTTTGTGTGAAAAGGAATAAAAGTGGTCAGAATTTTAGGTTTTTCCTTCCGTTTAAAAAAAAAATCTCCATCCACATGAAAACGCATGCTATGAAGCACTGTCAAGGGCATGCCAAGCCAACAGGTGGCGATATAATCTCAACCGTAAAGCCATGCTGGCCAATCAGAAGCCTGAAAAAGTTTCCAGTAGGCGGAGATAACAGCGCAGGCGCCTGACGTCACAAGCCAAAAACTCCGGTTTCGCTGTCTACACGATAACACTGCAACCGGAGTTTTTGAAAATCTTCACCCTGGCAGGCGTTTTCAAAAATGTTCGGTTTCAGTGAACTGGTGCTGCGATTGCGTGTGGACGAACGCCCTAACAGCGTAGAAAAAGCTGCGGTTTAAAAAATAACCGCGTTCGTGTGGACAGGGCCTTACTGCCTCTAGTGTTCATTTCAACTGGAAACTGCAGTGATTCGTACATATAGCCTATAGGTACATTGTTTTTCAGTTTTGCAGAAATGTATATAGAGACACACATTTCCAATGAGCCTGGGTAGCTCAAAAAGGCTTTGATACCACATACATCATAAACATTTGTTAGAAATTGGTTAGAGTGTCATGGTTTCTAACAGCAAACAAACAAAATCCTTTATAGAGTTGGGGAAGTTTTTTTTTAAGGTAGGCCTATACTTATTTTCCACAGGGTTTATTACTTCATGAATAATAAATATTAATCTGCAGCCTAGCCCTATACAATTTTTTTGTTGACGGGCATTGGCAATATTGTAATATTCATCAGTACCTCTGCAAAATAGCGTACAGTTTTTGCAATATCTTTTCACTACATTCATGTTCTGAGGATAAATTCTTGAAAATATTTGTGAACGCTTTGGCTTTACTTTGACAGCTCCTGTAACAATGCAATTTAAAACCCTATGACATCCAAAAATTTGGAAATGCCTATGTGTATTCAATATTTTTGGTCCATTTTTGTGGAAAGAGAAAATATGCAAATTTTAAATGCGAAAAAATGGTGAAAACTTGGAGTACAGTAGAATGGCCTCATAACTAATAAACCTTAACTGAAAGCTACAAAACTGCAGATGCAGTTTTATAAGGAACATCCCTATGAGCAAGGAAAGGCTGATCTTTTATTCTTTAGAAAGAACATGAGAGGTAAAATGACTTTTACAATAATCAGAAATGGGTATCGGACAGAGATGAGGCATTTGTTATAAAATGTAGGATACCATGTCACTGTCTCAGAATCACAAACTCTAGAAGCAAACATTCATCATTTTTTTATTTTTTAGCTCAATGAAATTAAAACGTTTATTGATTTTATACATTTGATTGTAACTCAACTGACAAAGGAATTCAATAAAGTTACTTTAAATATTTTGCAAACAACTCATCACTTACACACTTGCACATACATTGACAACAAGCAAAAAAAATGGGGCAATATTTCAAAAGTTGACCTGCACTGGAATATTTTATTATTATTATTACATTTTATATCAATTGTAAAACAGAAGGGCCATTAAAAGCCCTATTTTTCCCCAAAGTTCACAGGTTAAATTAGGCAACTGTACTATTTCAGAATAACTTGTCATACAAATTGAATCTGATGATGAGTGATCAGGCTAATATCTGGTTTCCTGTTTTAGGAATTTTCTGCATATATGCACATTAAGTCAAAAATGAAAGGCGTGGATCCAACACGTTCTCACTCCCAACTCGTCACATATTGATGCTTGGTCAGGACCATATGAAAAGCCATTATGTTTATATTGAAAAAAAAAAAAAAACGAATTGAAGTAGAAATATTATTATATAACTGTAACTTTATTATTAGTGTAATTTTAACAAATCAGTCCCATGTACTGTACCTGATATTTATCCAAAATAATCAATATCGAATCGAATCGGTAATCGAATCGAAAGCTCGTGAATGAGAATCGAATCGAATCGTGAAATTTTTGTCAAAACCCAGCCCTAGTGGAAACATTATGCTTTGGCGCTGTTTTTCTGCTAAGGGTACAGGACGACTTCACTGCATTGAGGGGCAAATGGACGAGGCCATGTACTGTCAAATCTTGGACGAGAACCTCCTTCCCTCAGCCAGAACACTGAAGATGGGTTTTCCAGCATGACAATGACCCAAAACATACCGCCAAGGCAACAAAGGAGTGGCTCAAGAAGAAGCACATTAAAGGTGACATATTATGCCCCTTTTTACAATATGTAATATAAGTCTCTGGTGTCCACAGAATGTGTTATGTCTGTGAAGGTAAACAGCTGGGAAATAAATCGCTTGTTTATTTTAGATCTGTGTGGCAGCAGCAATATACCATAGCCTAAATAAATCAAGAAATTCATGCTCTCTTGTCTCCTCTGAGGCTGGGACTCTAAATAGTGTTCTGTGCTCATCTGTGCAGCCAAAGACAGAACAGTTAGTGTGTTTTGCTCAAACTTTCACCATGGCATTAGAACTAGTACACCGTTGTCGCTTGCGAAATCAAAATGACGGCGCCGTGGGTGGAAACTTAAAGATTAAGGGGCGGTAATATTATAAGGAGATCCCTTTGCCACATCACAGAGGGAGCGAAATCAGACGCGCTCGTTTTCTCAGATGCTCGCAGAAAAAGGCTTACCAAAACAAAGTGACTGGATTAATCTTTTTCACGTTTCCTTGGTTGGTAGATGCACCAGGGACCTGAGTATAGCACTTAAAACCTGGAAAAGTCAGATTTTCATGATATGTCACCTTTAAGGTCATGGAGTGGCCTAGTCAAATCAATTTCTAACCTTTATATAATGTGTTTTTTTCTGGATTTTTTGGTTGGTATTCTGTCTCTACACGTTAAAATAAACCTACCATAAATATTACAGACCCTTCATTTCTTTGCAAGTGGGCAAACTTACAAAATCAGCAGGGGATCAAATAAATATTTTGCCCACTGTATATGCAATAATGGCAATATTATTATCCAATATATAATTTAATCACGATGATAAAATTCCCAGTGCCTTTCGCGTCGGCATACTGATGCCAAGGGTTTCTTATTTAAAGCAATGGAGGACCCTGTGCATCAAAAAGTGACGCCAAAGGGTCCTGACCAAGCGTCAATATGTGACGAGTTGGGAGTGTAGACCTAGTCCTTGTAGCAAATTTATTTATTTGCTTTGCTAAGACTTAAGTTTTATTTCCCAACATCAACATACCTCTTACCCTCCATATTTCTGGAAATATAAATACACTGACAGTGAAGGTGATGCTGGGAATATCAGGCAGTCATTGACTGGACCAGATCCTGCTGAATCCCACTCCCAGACACTCAAGCGTTCCCATTGATTCCCTTGTGCCGAAACTCCGGCATGCTCCACACGCGCTGCGCTTTCTCCGTTGTCTGACCAAGACCCTTCTCAACATCCCCACACACAGTCTTGACATCTACTCCATCTTCCTCCGAGCCGTAACTGTTTGATTTCAGTCCCAAGGTGCTGCCGAAAGGGTTGATCCGCACGCGAGACTTGAAGCTCATCAGCGACAGGCTTACAGGTCTGTTGTTCCACTGGTGGGTCAGACGCTGCTCCTCCTGCTCCTCATGAACACGCTCGAGTGTTTCCACAAGCACAGAGCGGAAGAGTCCGGAAACCTCCTGCACCTCAGGCTCATTCTCCATCAGCACCTGCCGAAACCTGTGAAGAGAGGAGAGAGTGTGGAGAGTTTTGCATAACACTTTTGTCAAAGGAGTATCGTATTAAATCAACGTTTAATTCATTACTTGAACTAGGCCTATTACTAACTTTCAGAAAGCAAAACTTCCCATCCATTCAAGGCATTTATTGTAACAAAGCTCCAACAATGACTCATTCTAAAAATGTAACCTGCTGAAATAATATTATTGTTTATGAGCTGCTTTCTTGTGAGTGTAATAGGTCAAAATGACGAAGAAACGTGCCAAATGATGTGACCTGCATCTCTACAAGGATCACATGGAAGACTGTTTCTGCCTCAGAGTAAAACATAAAACGGGTGATTGTATTTAAAACAAGAAATAAATTCCCATTACAAATGAAAAACTCACAGTTATGGGAAGCAAAGGTGGGGTACATTGTAGAATCTGAGGGGCATGTTGTAACATGATCTTATGACCGCTTAAAATGTTATCTGATCTAATTAAAAAAAATATACAAGACAAACTAAATTATTTTGTCAATAAACTAAAATTATTAACTTCTTCAAATAAAATAATGGCTTTTTTTAAGAACTAAAAATAATCTAATTTTGGAGTTTGACAATAAATACAATGCAACCATATTCACCTGTTCACCTATATTCGCCTGTTTCTCGTGCTTTCTCATTGAAATTTATAAAAGTAAATAGTGTAAATGACATCACTAATGTCATAGCACAGTTTAATAATAGCGGGGCACATTGTAATGCAGTGTTACAACGTTCCCCATCTGCGCAACTGGAATTTAAAACTTACAAGAAGCAAAGTCACAACTGCGAACTTTAAATTCACATTTAGAGATAGAAAAATCACAACTTGACAATATAAAGTCGCAAATGTTAGATATAAAGGCACATTGTGAGATACAAAGTCATAATTACAAGAAACAATCACAACTGTGAGATTTAAAGTCACATTGAGGGACAAAGTCACAATTGGAAGATATAAAGGCACACTGTGAGCTATAGAATCAGAATTACGAGAAACAGTCACCCTTGCCAGATTTCAAGTCACATTGAAAGATAAAGTCACAATTACAAGAAACAAAGTCACAATTGTGAGATTTTAAAGTCGCACTGAAAGAAGTCGCACTGAAAGATATAAAGTCACAATTGGAAGCTATAAAGGCACATTGTGAAATATAAAGAAGAAATTACGAAGATTTTACGAAGAAACAGTTACATTTGTGAGATTTAAAGTCACATTGAGAAAAATAGAGTTGCAATTGCAAGATGTTAAGCCACAGTTACAAGAAATAAAGTCACCCTTGCAAGATCTGAAGTCACACTGAGGGAAATCAAGTTGCAACTGCAAGATATAAAGTCGCAATTCCAAGAAATAGATCACAGTTGCGATATTTAGTGTTACTGAGAGATATAAAGAGTGAGATTGAATCATAAAGTCTCAAGTGTGAGGTATGAAGTTGCAATTACAATAAACAAAGTCACACTGAGAAATATAAAGTCACAACTGGAATATATTAAGGCACATTGTGAGACATAAAGTCAGAATTACAAGAAACAGTGTCACACTTGCAAGATTTAAAGTGATACTGAAAGTTAAAGTTGCAGTTAACTTCCCAATGTTAGAATCCTTTAAGTAAATGTTATTACTCAATTCAAATAGCCAATCATAACTGAGATTATTTACAAAAGTACAGTGACAAATATTAACCACTGCATCTTTTATTGTAAAAGTTATTTAAAGGGTTAGTTCACCCAAAAATGAAAATTAGCCCATAAATTACTCACCCTCAAGTCATCCTAGGTGTATATGACTTTCTTCTTTCAGACGAATCCAGTCGGAGTTATATTAAAAATGGTCTTTGATCTTTCAAGCTGTTTCATGGCA